GCCCTTCCCCTTGTCTCCCTTGTCGCACGCTCAGCCTCCTTCTTCTTCCACCGCCCCTCAGCTGTTTTCCCTGCCACCTTCACCTAGTCTCCCACCCTCTCTCCCTCAGCAAGCTATATTTCATACTTTTATTTAGGCAGTACTGCACGTCTGAAACAGTGCTGGCGCACGCGCATTATCTCCCGAGAAAAATTATATTTTGCCAAAATTATGAATTTAAAATGAAGAGGGGTTATCCTAGCATAGATTTATATGATAACATTTCATCAGTAGACCTCACTAATCAAATAGGAAGAAGATCCTCTATATGTAAGATGACGGCTGCATATACCAGTCAGTACACAATCTGGATACGTTAGTGTGTTAGCGCATGCACAATATGTCCAGAGAAGAGTAGTATTTTGCAAAAATTATGCACATATATATATATATATATATTAATACGCATTTATATAATAGTACGATGATTTAGTATCATATGATTTTTATGTGCATATCCGTCACAAATTCTCAGTTTCCAGTCGCTAAGGGCAATAGTTTTCGTGAACCACCTAAGTCCGTAACGCATGGCGAGAGAATTCATTTTCATAACAGTTTCAAGAACTAAACCAGATTAAAGTCCGATTTTGAGGAAATAGTAAATTTTGATTCATTATTAAATCAGGAGTCTATATTATTGATAGACTCCTGATTAAATGTTGTCAAATTTCTTGCGCTATTTTTGATTTGGTATATACCTAGTTTTAACCGAAAGATGGCAGCACAATATCATTTACAATGCCAAAGCAGAGCATATAAATCAACTCTTGATTTATATGCTCTGGCCAAAGGACGTATAACATTTTGATAGAATCTAATTCATTTATTATAAATTTATCTATTATAATAAATCGTGCCTTGTTTGTCTATGTTTTCTTATTAAACTAATCGTGTTTAAATTCTTAATTTCTATAGTAATGATGGGCGAGCTATGTACCGTGAATTGGAAGGCATGCCATATAATGTCAATAAGAAGCTGCGCACAACTTTCGCACATATTATAGTCCACAGAATTCTTACCCAGATCATATAAATGTGACTTAAATATTGCACGTTTTATACGTTTTTTACGCGTGTAAATATTAATTTAGATTGCACAATGAATACTGTTAGTGCAGGAAAACGTAATGCACTTCAAAACGTAATCGTATCTCAAGTCATTAATTTACTAACAAGTAACACGTTACCGTACCGGTAACATCGTTATCCGAACTAACACAAAATGTGTTGAACGCATTTAATTTCAGCAGGATTTTTTCGAGTTCATTGCAAATTAACACTAGCAGTAGCAAATACACGCAATATACGTATCTATGTAGGTGGCGCTGGTAACACCGGAAGCCGGCGGCGCCACAGTACTGAAGGATTTTCATGGGTGAATGACCTCGCAGCAAAAACCAGTCAGGTTGAGCGGTGAATTTGTTCCTGGATTTGCTCTACTATAGCAGTGCATGTGCTCGGATTTCTCATGGGGTATAGCCACAACATTTTCTGAAATGTCCGCAGAATGTCAAACAACATTAAAGGTAAGACTTTTTCTATTAGAAATTAGACCGATATTTTTAGTTAGTTGTCGCGAGAGGTTTGCTGGAGAATTTCGCATCGTCGACAGCAGGAACACTACCACCAAGCTAGTGTCTCGCACCTAGAAAAAGACAACAAACGCATTAATTACGTCGTTGCTACGATTAAGGTGCAAGTCTAGCCAGTAACTTTCCTCCCACGGGTCACCCTTAGTCGGGGCGTTAGATCTAAGGAAAGCACTGCATCGATAATATTCAACGTGACACCACTCGAATTGTACACTCACTCGTACTCGCAGTGTGAACTACTCGCGTGCAGCTACTGTGTTTTCCTCGTACGTCGCACGTGTGCTCAGGTTAGGTTGCGCGTGCTATCGCCTGCTCTCCAGTTTGTCGCTAATTGCGTGAAAAATTCATGTCACTTATTAGTTATCAGATTGCAGTGAGACTGCATTTAGTCGTGCGTACTGCCTGGGTCTGCTAGCGTACATGTACACGCTTAGCACAGTAGGCCTACAAATAAATATCAATCAGTGCAAGCTATACACTTCACGCGCCGTAAAACTGTTTGTTAGAATGAAGACTGTGTGCATATATCTCAGGCCTAACAATGTTCGTTCGGTATAAATTTCACGTTTACTGATATAGCATTGTTCATTTCATAGTCGGAATATGAGCAGTATACGAAGAATATGAGCAGTATATGAAGTGCAATAGTCAGCAGGATTTTTTTGTATGTGGTTGGGGAAGGACTCACTGATAGTATCAGTCAGTCCTGCCCCAACCACAGTGATACTGGGCACGCTGTGTCAGCATTTTTTCTATATTACATTTTATTGTGAGGGTTACATGGCACTCATTCAAACCATTCTACCTTTTTATTTAAACAAATAAAACACGTGTATTTGTCATAGAGTATAACTCACTGTCTCGCTCATTTGGCATGGGTGGTGCCTGTTAGCCCGCAGGCGTCACATCCCAATAGTTTGATCTAGTACCACAAGGTTGTACATGTAGGTGATTTGCTGTGGAGAACTGCTTAC